ACCAAGAATCTGGATGAATCCAAGTTGGATGATTCCTCAACAGCAAACCAAATGTATTCAGAATGAAAAAGATCCTGTCTAGAATCTACAAAGAAGGGTAGGAAGCCACTGATCTCTGGGCAACATTTCACAAATCCTACTGAAAATCATAAATCCAACTCACTTTACTTTTAGTCACAATTATAGGAACTCAGTGCATGGTAAAAGGCTAAAGCTTTGAATGAATGCTCCTTGGTACATTTAATTAGGAACAAAGGCAAACAGTTATTTCATTAACATTTTACAACAAGTCAATAAAATCTTTAAAATTAGAATAATATTAGCACTGGAAAGAATAATCAAACACTTTGGAAATGTTTGAGGGAAAAATGGCTGCAAGAACTTAGAAACTGAGGCTAGGGTCTTTTTTTTTTTAAACATTTATTTTGTGTGTGTGTGTGTGTGTGTGTGTGTGGCCAGCTCAGCCCACCAGGGGGCGAGGCTGGCTGGCTTGTGGTGCTGGGGGATCGAACCGTGGTCCTTGTGCTTTGCCAAGTTTGTTCCAAGTAGGTGCTTTAGACCACTGAGCCATCTCACCAGCCCCAAGGCTAGGGTCTTAATAGTAATGCGTAGTCCATTCACCAGGCCCTTCCTGTGGGCGCTGGATTTTCACACGACGCCCACTCCGATGGAGGTAGGACTAGATGAGGAACCGGCCCAGGTCACAGTTCCTGCCAACAGTGGCACCCTGCTGGGAAGTGGCCTGGCCAGCTGCCAAGCCCAATGCTAAAGCCCTACTGCTCTGCCACAGGCAGAACTTCAGGAACAAAGTGTGGTTTCATGGGTTCCTGCCGCTGAGGGCATTCTAGTAAGTTCAAAGACAGGGTGACTCAGTCTTGAGGTTCCAGCTACCGAAAACAAAGGCCAGAACATGGCCGGAATTCAACAATGTTGTCTTGCAAATGCTCTTTAAGGGAGTAAACTGGAGTTTTCTGAGACACTCGGGACTCAACTTGATCACAGCCCCAGAAGTGCCACAAGGGTGGTTCCTGTCAGGTAACATTTTTTTTAACTTAGAAATTTATAGTGTAGGGGCTGGGATACACTCACCTGCACAAGGGCCTATGTGGCAAGCACAAGGTCCTGAGTTTGATTCCCAATACCCAGAAAACAAAACAACAACAAAAAAGAAATTTATTGTTTAATCCACAAGCTTCATATAGCTTTAACTTAAAAAAAAAGGTAAAACCAAGGCACTATTTCAAAGTCTGGGCCCTTCTAGTCTTCAAAATACAATAGCTCTGAACGTTATATACCCTAGCTAGAATAAGACAAAAACATGAACATACAGCTACTGTCACAGAACTTTCGGAGCAGAAAGGAACACACAATTCCACCTCTGCATTACTAGCACCTCATTACACCCCTGGTGTGTGTGCAGCACTGGGGAGTGAATCCAGGACCTCACAAATGGTAGGCCACACAGTCCTGAACTGGAAACCAACATATCTGGTTATTCATTCATTTATTTACTGAGACAGGGTCTAGCTGTATAATTTAGGCTGGTCTTGAACCTACTCTGCAGCCCAGGCTGGTCTCAAACTTGGAGCGATCCACCAGCCTTAGCCTCCCAAATGCTGGGGGATTATAGGAATGTGCTACCATGCCCAGATGGATATTTATTTACTGGACAAGAATATGAAAATAACCCAGTCTAGCAATTATAAACTTATTTGGCTATTAGGGGAAAAACAAGTGGAAAGGGATTTTTGAGAGGTGGACTTCACAAAAAAATACTGGCTAACTACAGCCAGTGGACATTGGACTGTCATAAAGTGAGGGACAAAAAGCCCCACTAAATGAAAGTAGCCAGTCTGTGGCATTAGATGTCTATGAAATCCGCTCCCTTTCTCCAGAGTATAGCTGGTTTAAAGTTGTCATTCTAGTAAATACTGAAATCTATCCTATAATATGCAAGTCAGCTACAGTGCTATTATAAGCATCTTTTAAAATTTGCATTAGAAAGGCATCAATTACCTCATGATACAAAGTGTAATTAGGAAGTATGTTATTTTAATTAATCTTACATGATAAATATTGTATCACCTCAAATATAAAAATTGTCATTTTAACATTTCAAGGTTGAGTACCAGAGTCTATGGCAAGCCACGTTCCTCACACTCAGGTAACAATTTAGAGATCATACAGCAAGTTGACCAGTGATCATACTTTGCGGTTAAAAACAAGAGGCACCAACGAGAAACAGCGGAAGAGCTTTGGGAAAATGAATTTCACAAAGAACAAAATCTGAAAATCTGCAAATTATGCGTCAGAAAGGAGCTTGGAAACTATGAGATGTTTCTCCAATGAAGAAAAAGATGAGTTTATTCATTTGGTCAATAGTTGAATGTGCATTATATATTAAGGATAATGGTAGAGATTAGGGATCTTAGTGGTTGAAAACAGAAAAAGAAGAGATGCTAAAAGTCTAGAGAAAGTGGAGCATCTTTGTCAGATTTCAGGGAAGGGAACAGGACGAAGATAAGCAAGACTGCCTCTTCTGCAAACCAAGGAGTGAGGCGGGGGTTGGGAGGAGGACATCGAGGGAGATAGCAGGGTTAGAAGGGTCATCATGGAGGACAAGGGACAACTGGAAGAGGAGGTCCCAACTCTAGCTCTGCACTACAAACCTATAGCGTCAACAATGGATAATATCCAGTGTTTATTGCAAGAGCATGTGGAAGGGGATGCTGGCTAGACGTGAGACCTGGACCGCGGACCTACCTCTGCCACAAAAAAAGTGGCTGGCTCTGGCAAGTTATGTAGCATCCTGCAGGGTTTGCTCAGAGTTGTTTTTTGCTGTTGTTCATTGCAACAAAAGCATTGGCGAGCACTCCACTGAGACCTCTCTTTGAAACACGCTGTTCAATACTTTGGGCCTGGTTTGACCACCAAGGTGTCCATGTTGCTGCCTCAGTCCTCAGTGTGGTGGTGTTGTGATCTTTTAAGAGGTACAACCTGGTGGGAAACTGGGAGCTGCCCTTAGAAGAGATTAAGGTAGTTCTGGTGGGACCCCAAGTTAGCTCTGAGTGGGCTGTCAGAAAAAAGCCTGGCCTTACTCAGGCTTCCTGTCTGGTCATGTGACCTCTCCCTGCCTTTCTGTTGTGCCCTTGTGAAGTACTAAGTAGGGCTGATGTCAGGCTCTTGAACCTCCAGTGTAGTGTGCAAAGTAAGCTTCTGCATAATTTCCCAGCCTCAGGTATTTTGTTAGTGATGGAAAATCCAGAGTCTGCGTTCTCTGGGTAGTTTTTCAATTAGATTGCCCAAAGCAAGCTATCTAAGTCTCCTGGACTGTGTGAAAGTCAAGATAGAAATGTACGTGCTGGGTGTGGGGGCCACACCTGTAATCCCAACACTGTGAGAACCTGCGGTAGAAAGACCAAAAGTTTCAGTGTAGGCAACTCAATGACGTGGAGAGATTGTTTAACAATAAAAACTAAAAGGGCTAGGGATGTAGTTTAGTGAAGAGTTTGGGTTTAATCTTAAGCACAAACATACATACAGACACACACACACATTATCTTCACATCTATCCTCAGAATAACTGGTAAAGCTGATGTTAAGGATTTCCCACCCTGGAGGAAGTAAACATATCGGCTGGGAATGTCTTAAATGTCCAATGCAGAGACCACTTTTATTTTTAAACCACTGTACTGTCAACATGGGGGGGGTTTACCTCCAGGACCCTTGCAAATATCAAAATCCTCGGATGCCCATTTGCAGACGAGGGCCTATATATCTTATCTTTGCGGTGAGAGACAAAGTGCACTATGCTGCCCAGGCTGGCCTCAATACCCTAGGCTGGTGACCATCTTGCTTCGGCCTTCCAAACAGCTGGGGACTACAGGTGCCCACTGCAGCTACTTACTTCCTTAAATTACCTCTAGTAGTGTTAATGCTATGGAAATAGTTGTAGTCTAGGGAATGACAAGAAAGAAAAAAAAAAAAAAAAAAACGACTCCCTACGGCTCACAGTATCTTTTGGGATATCTTCGACCTGCAGTTAGCTGAATCCACAGATGCGGAAGCCATTGGTAGGAAGGGTGGACTGCATGAGTACCCCGTTCTCTCCACGTGCAGCTGACAGGAAGATCCGGGGATGAGCTTTACGGGAGGATGCAAACACCCTGAGATTACAGACTCATTTCGTGATGCGCGAACGAACCTATTTAAACTTTCCTTGGTCTTCCACAGTGTATGGATGCCTACTCCCCAAAAGAGCGAACAGTCATTGCTGTAAACATCCTCCTTTTCTGAAAAGGCGCTCCAGCCGAAGTGCGCAGCGCGATTCCGGGCTCTCGGGTTACTATTCCAACCCTCGCGCGCTCTCCGCCGCTGACCTGTCGCCCCGCGGCGGGATGGTGCAGCAGCTAGGGAGCACGCGGGAGCGCGGCCGCACCGCGCGGCAGGCGCTGCTCTGAGGTCGCCCTCGCGGCCCCGCCTTCGCGAACGCTGACTACAGGCCTCCATCTCCGCCGCACGCACCGCGGAGGCCAGACGTGGCCCGCTCCGCCCCGCACTCACGAGGGCGGCAGCCGGGCAGGCGACCGCCCAGGCCCAGCGCCTGGCTCTGTACCCCGCCCAGCCTCCCGCGCCCGAGCCTGGCCTGCCCTCTCACACACAGGCCTGGTCACATCTGACTGACCAGTCCCTCCCGAGCTCCTAGCGAGGCTCCAGGCGGCCCGCGCCCGGGCACCGACTAATGACGAAGCGCCTCCCGGGGACGGTGGCCGACACGTGACGGACGCTAGTCTGCCGTACTTTCGGGAGTCCGCTCCGCGGCTGCCGCCGGCGCCTGCGAGTACGCATGCGTGGCATAGGCGCAACCCCCCCCCCGTTTCCAAGGGATCTGCGCATGCGCCGGACGACCTTCTAGGGCCCTGGGGAGGCGGGGCTTCTGCCAGAAGCGCCACGGCGCTTGCGCAATAGGAGGAGGCGGGCGTTTCTTTCCTCCCTTTTTTTTCGAATCGGATTTGAGGGGTAGATTCGAGTTACAAAATGGCGGCCTGGGTCCTGTTTGCTGCTGGTTCCCCTGCGGTCTGAGTGGCCTTCCCTTCCGCCCAGTGGTGACCACACAAGGGAAACGGCCCCCGGGGGACATGGTGTTTGAGACTCCAGGCTTGCCGACCACGAAATCCGTAGAGGCTCGCAGCGCACCGGAAGCGACCCGCCGCCGCTTCGGACGCGATCACCGCCTGTTCCCTGCGCGCCGGCGCGCCTACGACCCAGCGAGAGCCGCGGCGGCCTCCGGAGAGGTGACACGCGAGGGGCCGGGCGCGGGGAGGGACGGTGCGGCGGGACCCGCGGGGGGCGGGGGGTG